TAATATTACAGCGTCTGATTTTGCAGCGTTGTGACCAGTGCATTCAGCGTGTTCCTTTATTGTCGAAAAAATTCTCTTTCTAACTCCCGGTTTGTGTTCTAACCACCTTGTCGCCCAACATCTCTTTGATTCACCGATATATGTAGATGGACATTCTCTGCATTTGTATTTGTATACAATAGGTTTTGTTCTGTCTTCTGACGGTCTTGCTTTGGGCTTGCGAAAAATATTCCCTAAAGTTAGTATTGGTTTTAACGCGACCCGAACTCCTGCATTGGTTAAAATACTTTTTACTAAAAGTATTAGTAGTATTTTTAGTAAAAAGTATTTTAACCAATGCAGGAGGTCGGGTCGCGTTAAAACCAGTACTAACTTTAGGGAATATTTTGACAAGCCCAAAGCAAGACCGTCAGAAGACAGAACAAAAGCTATTGTATACAAATACAAATGCAGAGAATGTCCATTTACATATATCGGTGAATCAAAGAGATGTTGGGCGACAAGGTGGTTAGAACACAAACCGGGAGTTAGAAAGAGAATTTTTTCGACAATAAAGGAACACGCTGAATGCACTGGTCACAACGCTGCAAAATCAGACGCTGTAATATTAGAAAAGGAGTTAAGAACTATACGAACAAAGGATTTTCTTAGAGGCTTTACATTCCACTCTTAGTGAAAACACGGCTAATGAACATACTGAATTTCCGGCTTGTTATTCTATATTAGCAGATGAAATCAAGCGGAACGATAAACATTATAAATAGAGGTGTAATGACTCTTGCCATATACTCTGACGAAGGCTTGCAGCTCGCAGCCGAAAATTTAGTTTTAATTTTACTAGTTTTTATTTTAAATAAAATGTTTTTAACCAGATCAGCTACAAACCTTAGAAAAGTTATCATATATATATATATATATATATATATATATATATATATATATATATATATATATATATATATATATATATATATATATATATATATATATATATATATATATATATATATATATATATATATATATATATAGATAGATATATATATATATAGATAGATATATATATATATATATATATATATATATATATATATATATATATATATATATATATATATATATATATATATATATATATATATATATATATATATATACAACACAATGAATATTACACAGACGTTTAAAATATTGAAATATGAAACTTTATATTTCCTTTTTGTGGTACACGCGTGCCGCATTTCGGCGATCGTGTGGATTATACTCACTGTAGTTTGTTCAATTTAGAGAGTTTAGCAATATCTTCAGGGAGGAGCACACAGAGTTGTATTGCTGACGACATAACTGATGATGAAGAGAAGGATACACTGGACTGTTCAAGTGCCGTGGTTGAAAGAAATCCAAATGTGATCTTGAAAAAGCGAGAGGGAGGGCAAATTTCTGAAGGTATATAAATAACTTTTTTTTCTTTATTTGCCTAATTTAAAAAGAACCACAGATTGCCGTTGTAATTCATATGTTGGGCTTTAACTGATGTCACATACACAAAAACGACGCTGTATAGCTAAAGTGGCGTACTTTCTGGGAGAATGTATTGTTAATGTATCACTATTTGGAAAACTCACTCGTCTTCGAAATTTCCAAATTGCAATCGAAACCACATTGTTAATTGTTGTCTATATACAACAATTGTGAGATTGGTTACTTGGATTTGAAAGCGAAGCTTTGTCATCGCCAGTGGTATAATTCTTTTTGGCTTCCTGTGCTTGCACAGTTCTTATTCAAAAGAACGAAATTTTTATCCATTAGATTTAAAACAGTAACAGTGCATTAGCCTATATTATTTTAACAGTGTACTGCATGCAAACTGGTAAGTGGAACACGAAATTTAAAAATGAATAATGAAGCTGGTCACAAAACCGTCGAGGATGTAAAAAAGAAGTAAGTTTTTCATTGGAAGTGCTGAAAAATTGTATTTGCTTTCCCAAAACCAACCAACGAATGCAATGAGCGATTGAGCTTTGTGAAATTGCGGAAATTGCACAGAAAAATGGTCATGTCTCTAAGTATTCATTGTATGACATTGTGGGCTCAGTCAGCAATTTTCCCGCTCTTTGTGTTTTGCTTTATTTCGGCTTATTTATGACTAAATAAGGCTCAAATTGTAAGTTTAAATAGTTCTTAATCATGCTTGAGTTGCCTAATACTGTATTTTTCTTGGGCCTTTAATTAACCTTTTCTTAATCCCGAAATTCTACCATGCAATAAAGCAAATAGTTTGCCGACTAAAAAATTTATTAGGTGAAATAATTTAGCAAGTTTCCTCGTTAATATTCAGTACACGTCAGCATGTACATTCTACTCATGTTCTGTTAAGATGAGCTAGCCCATACCTCTCCGTTTGTGGCCGCGATTTCTGGTTGTGTACAATACGAAAGCACTTCTCATGCATAAACAAATTAGTATGCATTTTATAGATACTGAGTTAATTGTTTTATTCCATGGAAATCAGAAACGCTATAATAATGCAGGGGGTTTAACTTTAAATAGATATATATGTACTTAATTGTGAACGATATAAATTCATAATTCAAAAAGAAGCCGTATACACGCGCAGAAAATCTCAATTATATAACGTTTACCTACATACAATCTTCCTTGCAAGGTATGCAATTTTTTCCACGACAAATAAAAATCGATATAAGGCGACAGTAATTAAGTTTATGTTCAGCTTCAGGTGAAAAAAAGAAAGTCAATCAAAGAGCAGGACAATTCCTGGCGTGAGTGAAATTACTCATACGTCATCATTGTATTATTTGATTAGACGAACGATTGTTCCGCAGGAGCAAATACATTGGGAAAACTCCGGATCTGACATGTATAATTAATTACGTTTCGTTGTTGACATGCATTGCCAGAGCATGCATGTGAACATATTTGCAAAATGTGTTTTTTAGTGTGAAGTTTCACTTCACACTTTTGTGATGGCTGGCGAATTCACACGAATCAGTCAGTCAGTCAATCAGTCAGTCAATCATAGAGTAAACTTTCCGGGGGGTGTGTACGATTTATGTTCGCAGTGATTTATTGTACTTAGTGTTCTGAAGGTTATTTAATTTAAGCAATTTTATTTATTTTCTTTTATTTATTTTATTGGCAAAATGTGTTTTATTTTTTACAAATTGAACAGGATTCAAATCCTGGTTATAAAGATGCGTGCAAGTCTCGCCTGAAGTCTTTTTCAATGAATCTTTTTTAATGCAAGTTATTAGAATTTAGACAACGCCATGTAAGTTAAAATAAATACAGTACGCTAAAATAACGCTTGTAAAAGCCATGGGAATATATACTTTGTTCATTATTGGCTGAAAAATTGTTGGTTGAAAAACTTTGATAAACTGAATAATTATTTTTGTATTACTGTAGTTTCGTCAGATCTCTTACCATGTGAAGTAATTGCTCGAGGTGAAAAAGCGATCGCGGCTTTCAAGACTGCATTGGCCGAGGGAACTTCATCTGCTTCGAGGCTAAAAATTATTGTTGTTGGAGATGTTCGTGCTGGAAAGACCAGTTTAATTAGATCACTTAGCGGACAGCCATTCATTGAGAGCCGTGAAAAGACCCATGGCATCCAAACTACTTCCATTGTTGAATCCATTGTACAAAATACAGAATTAAATATTTTATGGACATTGGCTGATACTAACGAATCGCATCTTGATAGACTGATTGCCCGAGTTGTGTCGGATATTTTAAAAGAAATGGCTGAAATACCAAGCAGGCAGATACCTGAATTGCCACCATCTCCTGGAGAATTTAATGCTAACCAGATCATGACACCTATGGCATCTACCAGTAAAGGCTTCTACACACCACCAAAACAGATGCCTGATTCTCAAGTGTTAATAACGGAGCCCTCTATTCCTGTTGAAGGGAGTCCAAGGAAATTACCCGCGTCGCTAATCGCCAAAAACTTATTAAGCGAAAGAGATGAAACCGCGAGCGTTAAGGTTAATTTCTGGGATTTTGCTGGCCATCAGCTGTATGAGCCAATGCACCATTTATTTATGAACAGCAGAAGTTTGTATTTAGTGGTGTTTAATTTATACAAGATGTTTAAATCGCCTCTGAAGAGTTTGTGTGGTATACAGTATTGGTTGAATTCTATTGCCAGTCACACAACAGCGGGAACTCCAATCATTCTTGTCGGGACACATAAAGCACAAGTAAGTAACCTTAAGTTAAACGTAGAAATTGAGAAAGAATGCGTTAGTTAACATGGGTCATAACAACAGGCAATAGTTCTTCTGTACCTATAGTCAGGAATCTACAAGGATCGATGAGACAAGCACGTAGAAGGCACTGTTTAAACGGGAGCCTTCCTCCTATCGAAAGGTGATATATATGTGTGTCGAAACTGACAGAATTAATTTTTGCCAAAATCCGAAAGGCATTTTGCTGAAAGATATTTTGCCGAACGGACATTTTGCCGAACGGACATTTTGCCGAACGGACAGTTTCCCGAAAGGACAGTTTGCCGAAAGGACAACTTGCCGAAAATAGAAATGTTCTTTCGTCAAAATGTTTGGTACTGTGCCTCATTTCTCAACTTTGTAATTCTCAACCATTGTGCAAAATAACCATTATATGATATTAGCAATGCATAACCCATCATTAGCAGTGCATAATCATATTCACTATGGGTAGCTTGTTTGTGGAGCGGATGACTCGTTTGTTAGGAACGTGCTTTGACGTCACATCGTAAACAAGCAAGTGTATTCACTTTGAGAATCATTGAATACATTCACAGTTCTTGGGGAAATCGCATTCATGAATGATGTACGTTGAATGATGTTATTCTTTATATTGCGAAATTTTGGTAAACTTGTCAAAAACTTGAAAGAATATAAAACGAAACTATATACTTCGCTATCAAAGTTTCTGTCATCAAAATTGACAATGACTTTAATCACACAAACCAAAACTTTTTAAGCGAACCTTTTAAAAGTTGAGAAGATATCTCTATTTTCGGCAAGTTGTCTGCTCGTCAAACTTTCCATTCGGCAAAACGTCCGTCGGCAAAATGTCCGTTCGGCAAAATGTCTTTCGGCAAAATGTCCAGCCACCATTGGCACAACAGTAGCCTATATACTGTATGTAGGTAAAATGCGTCACGGAGATTTGAAGTTAGGGACCCACAATTGCTGTATAAATCAAACTACACATCTATACTTAAGAAAATACTTCGAAAAAGATGGAAGGTTACAGAACACCCTACGCAGATGGTTCGGGAAATTTGATATAATTGAGCGCTTTTATTGAGCCAATCCGTTTCATATTTTAATTCACCATGCTATAATATTGCCAAATAAATAAACGCTCTACATGCATCTATTATTATTGCCAAATTACTGTTTCATCAGATTGTCTGAAGTCCAGACACCTATCTTCCGGGAGTTATATTCGCTCTGGTTTTACTGAAATTCTCGTAAATTAGT